TATAGGACGAAAATATATGCATTTGTATTTGTATATACAATTTTCTCTCGCTTTATACAAACACAAACGCAATGTATACATTTGTGTTTGTATAAAGTGAGAGAGGCGAGTGAGATATGAGAGAGTGGCGAGTGAGATCTGGGAGAGGGGAGAGAAGGGAATGAAAATATATGTATATATACAATTTTCTCTCGCTTTATACAGACACAAACACATTTTTATACATTTGTGTTTATATAAAAGTGAGAGAGGCGAGCGAGACTGCCCAGCGAGAACGAGAGTGGCGAGCGAGATTCACCAGGGAGAGAGGCGACATAACAACAGTTTGTTATGGGATACAATTAAATCAAACAATGTTTATAGCATTTAATTTGAATTAATAGTTTGTTATTATATACAATTGTCCCTACAAATTATTAATAAATTTATGGGACATATGAACCGACCCATGCTTCAAAATTTACGCTTCACCCGTGTTGCGTAAAATATCCCGCTTTGTTTTCGCGCCTCTTTAGACTTAAAATTTAACTTGGCATCAAATCTATCATAATTTAATTTTATTCCAAAATAATTTAGGTATGAGAATTACGAATTTTCCAATTCAACTTATTCAAAGATTTATAAAATCTAAGTTTCTCCTTTAAATAGAAGTCAATTCTAGGCAAAGAAACACAGAACAACAATGCCATTTGATCACCCCTCATATCTTATCAAATACATTTTCCTCTTTCTTTTAGTCACGACAAAGAAAATGAGCACTGAAAGAAAAGTTGCATACCAAAAATCCCGAAAAGACAAAAGAAATGCTGAGGAGAAGCAAGTCAGGCCCACTACTTTTTCAAGCATAGACCACTAAAAGTCCTATACTTGATAGATTTTTTTAAAAAGTTTATTATACTAATGAATGTAAAGATTTTTCACCTAGAATGTGTAAAACATTTTAAAGTCATGCGGGTCTAATTTCAAGAGACAATACTACTAGTAGTCTGAAACCTCAATAATCAATTATATATAGATAAAATAAAGGAGAAATATTGAATAGATAAGGAAACAAGCTTTGAGTCTTAGTGATTATAGTCTTACAAAAACTAAAAAAGGATAACATTACTAGTAATTTGGGATCTCAATGTTCAATCGAATATCGATAAAACATAAAAAAAAATTAGATAGATAAAAAAACAAGTTCTAAATTTTAGTGACACGTTTAAATATCTCGTCTTGATTTAAATGGACATGCAATATTTTTACTTCATATTATTGAAGTTCAGTCATTTTTCCTTTTACACAAATCTCAATTAATATGATTGAAGTTCAAATAAAAATGTTTGAACTTCAACCATATAAAAATTCAAACATTCTACCTAAAGTTAGGCGTCGTCAAACCAAACTTCAAACAACATAAATAATAATATTCACAATTTTTTTTTTACACTAAACACATAATAAACATAATTATGATTAAGAATTTTCATGATAAAAAATTACTCTGTATGAATCAAGGGTAAAACAGTAAAAACACCCGAACAAAAATGTAGAGAAATCCAGATACGGCATATGCACAAAAATATTATTAATATTAATCGTCGCCTTCATATAAATACCTTTTTAAATTTTCCATTTTATCATAAACTCAGAAAAGAAAAATAATATACAAAATTTTCTCTGTTCTTTGTTCAAATCTTCACTTTTGTTTTTTTTGTTTAGAAAAAATCAAACATTTTAATTAGAGAGAAATACAATGGCAGATGTAGAAATGGGGGAAACTGAGATTTTTGCATTTCAAGCAGAAATAAACCAACTATTGAGTTTAATTATCAATACTTTTTACACTAATAAGGAAATTTTCCTTCGTGAATTAATCAGCAATTCCTCTGATGTAAGTTTTAGTTTACGCAAATTATCACGTAGAATACATGTGTCTGTTGTTCAATTTTATATGAGTTTAAATGTTTCTTTATGCACATCAAAATTAGAAGGTATAGATGTTAACTGAATTCAAGTTAAATGATACGTTTGTATATTATCTTTAATTTGGTCTCCATTGATAACTAAACAATGTACATCAACACACCTGATCAATTTCTCCTAGTTGTGTTGAACATTTGACGTTGACCGGACACATAAATTTTAGAGGCTATTGAGATAATTATTTTGTAAGTTGGAGTGTTCAATTTATGTAGTAGAGACAAGCTGGAGTATCTAGACGTACATCTATAAAGTTGAAATGTTTAGTTCTAATTTATATTAAGTTAAAGGTGTCTATTTCTATATTATATTATTTTAAAAATTTATGAGTTTATTATCATGTTAAAGTGTGATGTTTTTTTATCTATAGAGACAGAATTAGAATTTTAAGTTTATAAGTTCTGGATTTCTATATTATTTTTTCATCACGTTTAAAAGTTTTATACGTTCTAGATTCTAGAACATGCAACTCATTAGATTCTGAATAAATTATTTATACATGTTAAGTGAACTTTTTTGATACAAATATAGAATATGCGTTAAAGTTATGGTTTTGTTCTGGTCCTATGCAAAAGCTTCTTAATTAAGTCGTTGAGAGAGCACACTTTTATTTATTTAATTATGTTCTAATTTAATTTATCTGTTTGTTTTGAGTGTGGATTTGAATTTTTTTTTAAAAATTGTGTAGGCATTGGATAAAATTCGATTTGAGAGCTTGACTGATAAAAGTAAACTGGATGCACAGCCTGAGCTTTTCATTAGAATTGTTCCCGATAATAAGGTGAATAACACACTCTCCATCATCGACAGCGGTATCGGTATATGACGAAAACAGGTATGACATGTATATATACACAATGTTGATTGAGTTGATCACCCTTTGTTGAAAAATTATAATGTATATATGGAACAATGATGAACTTCTTGGCTTAGCCATCCTATGTATAGATAGGAATGGATAGGATAGTCGGTGTGTATGAACTATCAATCGTTAGGAATAGAGGCGGATCTAGAGTTTCTATAATATGGGTGCATAGCAAGTAGCTTGTTAGCTAAATAACTTTGCGTTCAACCAAGTAGTCTTTTATTTTGGAACATGAGTGCGGATAGATAATATTATGATAGTACTCTGGTGAATTGGCGTGTTGTGTTATGAGTAATTGAAGAAATGGTTTATGTTATTATAATAGATTTGGTGAAGAATCTGGGAAGGATGGCGAAGTCAGGAACGAAGGAGTTCATGGAGGCAGGAGCTGATGTTAGTATGATTGGACAGTTTGGTGTTGGTTTCTACTCTTCCTATCTTGTTGCTGAGAAAGTTGTGGTTACGACGTGTGGGAGTCTCAGGCTGGTGGATCGTTCACCGTTACACGAGATGTCAATGGTAGAGGTACTAAGATCACCGAAAATCAGGTACCAATTTTAAATGTTTCATTTCTTATGTATAGAGAGAGGAATGTACTTCCCTCTGTTTCAGTTTGTTCGTCTTACTTTCCTTTTTAGTCCGATTCAAAAAGAATGTCTCACATAATATGTTTAATCCGACAAACGAAGGGAGTATTTTTTGTAATTTATGCAGCTGCAGCTGGAATACTTGGAAGAGAGGAGAATAAAGGATCTTGTGAAGAAACACTCCGAGTTCATTAGCTATGGACGGAGAAGACAACTGAGAAGGAGGTTAGCGATGATGAAGACGAGGAAGGAAGAAGAGGGAGACGAGGATAAAGAGAAGGACAAGAAGAAGAAGATCAAGGATGAATGGGAGCTAATCAACAAGCAAAAACCCCGTAAGCCCGAAGAAGTGACTAAAGAAGAGTACTAGCTACTCGTTCTACAAGAGCCTAACGAACGACTGGGAGGATCCGTTGCACTGGAAACATTTCTCTGTCGAGGGTCAGCTCGAGTTCAGGGCCATCCTGTTTGTTCCTAAACGAGCTCCTTTCGATCTCTTTGACACGAGGAAGAAGCTCTATGTCAGGAGAGTCTTTATCATGGACAACTGCAAAGAACTCATCCCCGAGTACCTAGGATTCGTCAAGGGAAGGGTGTCGTTGATTCTGATGACCTTCCACTCAACATTTCAAGTTAGGTATTCATGAAGACAGAGGTAAATATGCTGATCTCCTCAGGTTCCACTCGACAAAGAGCGGTGATGAGTTGACTAGCTTTCACGAGGGACAAAAGGACATCTACTACATCACGGGGGAGAGTAAGAAAGCTGTCGAGAACTCTCCGTTCCTTGAGAAGAGAGGATACGAAGTACTCTTACATGGTTGGGCAATTGAAAGAATACGATGGAGACAAGTGCTTGTTTCAGACAGAATTGTTGATTCTCCCTGCTGCTTAGTGACCGGAGAGTACGGCTAACATGTAAAGCACAGGCATTACGGGACAGCAGCATGAGCGCGTATTTACTGATGCTTTTGTATGAAACTGCGTTGTTGACGTCTGGTTTCAGCCTTGATGATCCTAACACATTTGCTCATAGGATGTTGAAATTGGGAGGAAGAAGATGAGATGCCTTCACTGGAAGAAGAAGAAGGAGGTAATGAAGAGAGTAAGATGGAGGAAGTTGACTGAGAAATTTAAGTTTGTTTAGGTGTATATTATATTAGGTTGACTAACGTGGTTTTTGTGGCTTTATATTTAGCTTGTCTATTTTCTTTTGTTGTTGTTGGTTCTGTTGTTTATACTTGACTGTCTATACATAATGCTTCGTATCGGGCTTGTCCTTTTCTTTCTATTGTTGGTTTCTTCTAGCAGGTTGTGTTTGTGATTGACCAATATCTGCACATGCTTGTGCTACCATGTAAATTGATGTGTTTCTATAGACCCTTGGCTCAAAGAACGATCAAAAGAGGCAGTAGCCGCAAGCAGAAATAACAACAAGATAATAAGATAACTGCGGCCAAAGGAACAAACAACATGCAGTTAAACAGAAATCACTCAGTATAATGGCCCAAGCCAAAATATAAATTTCGGATAATGACTACGTCTAGGTCAATTTGCATGCACCTCGACTAATCCACCGGGCATAGCTCCAATCGAAATTCTGTATAAAGCCTTTTCTTTTTCATTAACAAAGTATACTCTTTGACAATGGGACAATTGACAATATCAAATGCATTCACTTTTGACACTACTGTTATATCCTCTCTACCCTTTTATGTAATGCTTTTCTACAATTTTATTTCCAGTTCAAGGGAGAGGGACAACAATAAAACCGAAATGAAGCCAACTACTAGAAGAGGATGACAGATGTTTCTATAATTGGACTCAAAATCTAACTAAAAGATTTAACTTAAAACTCGAACAGACAAGGTACCAAACATCACTCTGCGCCTTCGAGGTCTTCAGTTTCCAAGCCAGTGAGGAGTAGAGGATCCGATTCCTCAAACTTATTTACCTTCCTGTTTCAAGAAAACGAAACACTGTTCAGTCCTAGACAGCAATATTTGCAGACAGTGATACTAAGATTAAAAAATTCGAAGTCTTTTCTGCCCGGGCAAAGACTTCGAGTATGGAAGAATGCAGTTCTTGAAACTTTAATATAGCAGCAACAATATACAACTTTATGATGAAATCAAAACATGAAAGAGTTATAATTACTGTTAAGTTCCCTTACTGAAATTCACTGTACAAAGAAATATAATTCAAGAGTAAAAGAGTAGAATATTTGAAAGCTATTTAGGGAAAGCTGAGTACAATAGACTTTTGCGGTGTGGCCCTTTCACAGACCTCATGCATAGCGGGAGCTTAGTGCACAGGCTGCCCTAATTTCGTAGAAATCAAGTTGTAGGCTTCAAGTTCAATTTCAGACATTTATTCAGTCCTCACCCGTTGTGTACACATCTATGTTCCTCAGACTCTGGTGAAGGACCTGATATAGGTGCAGATCTAGAAGTTCGAATTTTTCAACACATAAATTTAGGTTTTGGCATTATGGATGTGCAGATACGGGTGCAGGGATATGACCAATAAAAGTATAATACGACACATAAGTATATATTATTCTTGCAGTTCTGCTTCGGAAACATTTCTTTTGAGCCGAGGGTCTATCAGAAACAACCTCTCTACCTCATATGTTTATTCGAAGTATCCCAATGGGGTAACGCCGTTGACTTCTTGGAAGAAAAGGTAATACCCTCCCCAACCTCCACTTGAGGAATTACACTGGCAATGTCGTCGTTGACATATATAAGTATATATATTTTGATTGATTATAGTTATTGAACTAAAATCTAATAAGATTCAGCAGAAACATGATACATTCATCAGATAAGAGTTTAGTAAACGTACCCACATGTCTTCTTATTGTGACCTAGGCCCTTACACTTGCTACACTGCATCTGCCGTTTAACAATGTCAAAAGCATCGACCTTTTTCATCTTAGGTCGGCCAGGTGGACGTTTGCTTGGCGGGGGAGTAATAATAACTGCCGCATCAACTTCGGCGCTTGCTGGATTTTCCAGATTAGGAATGGGGTTAATTGATTCAACGTATGTTACATGGTAACTCTCGGTTGTGAAGTATCTGGAACAATAATCATATGGACTCCTTCCTATGCATTCAAAAACAGCAATAGCATGGCAGCAAGGCATTCCATTCAATTGCCAACCTTTGCAACTACAATCCCATTGATCAATATCAACTACGTCAACAGACTCACCACGAACTTCAAATGTACTTCCATGCGAGGGTAACACATGAAGTGACCCTGCTTTTGAGGTTTCACCCTGAAGTTTTTCTTCCATCAACGGTGTCAATCTCGTAGCCCACTGACTGGACTCAACACGCCTAGTATAGATCAATTCCATTATCTTCCCTCGTAATACATCAACCATTTGAGTTATCGGCAGCTCATTCACCTCCATCACCCAATCATAAAAAGGCTGTCCAAAGTTTGATGTCAAGTGGCCATACCTTGCCCCACCAAAAAGGGCATTCGCCCAATGATCGGGCTCACTTCGAGTGACCCAATCGTATGCATCAGGTGAGATTGCTCTTATATTCTCAGCACAACGTTCAAAACTCTCAAGTGTTGGGGCACAAGCAGCAGTATATAAATCTTGGATCATAAGACGTCTAGCTTCGTGAGAAAACTGTCCTTGCAAATCATTATTCAATTTTTCTGCAAGATAGCGCAGGCAATAACCATGGTGACACTCTTCATTAAATATCTCATGCAATGACTCTCTTATGCCCCTTTGGAAATCACAAACAAATGTTATTGGACAAGTCAGGACAGTAGATTTAAGTTCCGAAAGAAACCAATGCCAGTTGTCATTCGTCTCCTCGTCTACAACTGCAAAGGCTAAAGGAAAGACACCATCATTCCCATCCACACCTACGGCGGCCAATAGTGTTCCTTGATATTTTGCATAGAGAAGAGTGCTGTCAAGGAACAGAAGAGGACGACAACCTTGTCGAAAACCAGCTATTGAGGCATGAAACGAGATAAATAAACGATGGAAGCTCGAGTCATCCTTTGCGTAAACTATAGCAACACTACCTGGATTAGTTTCTTTAATTTTCTCACATAGTAAAGGTAACTGACTGTATGCCTCTCTGTAAGAACCTTGAAGCTGCTCCCTTGCCTTCTCTTTTGCACGTCTTGCCTGAGAGTAGTTCAACTGAATGCCATATTCACGTTCAATATCATTTGCAATATCCTTAGGTTTGTAATTGGGAGCAACCTTCAACTTTTCCTTTATTATATTTCCCATCCATCCCCTTGTGGACCGGTACCCAGCTTTTACTGCAGCTCCATCACATGTATGCTTCGGGTTCATCGTCTTAATACATATTAGCTCGGTGGTAGGCAACTTTGATGCATATATTGACCAAGCACAACCTTCTGACTTGCATTTAGCAGTTACTCTGCGACTTTCATTTTTCTTGTATTTATAAGTGAATCCATGGGCAATAGAGTACTTATGCAGAGCTTCACGGAATTCAGAAAAGCTGTTAAATCTTTGGCCCACGCCAGTAATGGCATTCTCCCACTGCATAGCTGCTTTGCGATGCTTCTCATCATTGCTACTCGGATAAACACCTGGGGGGCTAATTTCAACAGGTGCTTGAAACAGATCATCAGGATGGATCATATCCATGGGTATAACAGGAGTATGTTCAGGCTCGGATACGTTGGTCCTGCTTGACCTTCAAAGTTAAACAAGTCATAGAGAAATTTAAGTCATCAACAAACAAATATAGCAAAACAAAGCGCTCCCTGGAACACATTGAGTATAAAAACCTACTACAATCCGAAGAAATAGAAACTTAGCATGCTAGGATTCAAGGAAATACCCAAGGTGTGACAAATGCAATGAGAAAACAAAAGAAGCAAACTGAACTGAATCTAAAGAGAAGTAAATACCTACTGGCAGTCACATTCGGAGTACTTAGAGCAACACCTTCTTCTGCAATTATAAACACCTCTACTTGTTCAGAATCCTTGAAGAAGTTGATCATACGCTTGAGGTCCTTATCTTTAGATATTGTGATGAGTGTCTTCTTATTCCCAGGGAGAAAATACTTGATGGTCATTCCATCAGTGCCACACTCAAAGTTTTCCGCTACTTCTTGCTTAAAATCATTCAGAAGTGTCTGGTTATCGAGGTCTAGTGCATATGCCTCCCCGCCAACATATGTCAAAGATCCATCTTCATTGTTGGTAACAAACTCCCCTCCAGATTGACATATAGCAATTATTTTCTTGGAGGCCATCACTAGGCCGGCCAAAAAACTTCACCCAAATAAACTGCACCAGCTAAACGGATATTCCTTTGTCACACAGCCCAAAAATTGATATTGCAACTGCAAATAGAAAAATCCCAATTCAATTACTAAAGTTGAAGTCGTTTGAACGTTGAGAAGCAATAGGCAAGTAACCATAGGCACAATCAATCAGGAAAAGTTTAAAGCTAAAAACAAAGAACCCCAGAAGAAAATTTTGTTATGCAGAGGCAGATGATGGATGCACCAGCAAAGATAAATGAATGGGACCATGAAAATCAAGCTACATTCCCAACTTGATAAATAAAGTTCAACTCTTTGGAATGTTAAGAGGGTATAATCAAGTCACCAAAATAATAAGCTTACACAAGGCACATGCTATCGTCCACCAGCATGGATACTGAGTAACTCTGTCCATCATCAAGGCTCACACAAATGGAAAGAAAATCACCTAGTGTTTTTGCGGAATTGAACCTAAGACCTCATGGTTCTCAGCCTACTTCGTTGACCACTAGGCCACACCCTTGATCACACAACAACAAAAACAATATAGCCACTATAATCCCTCAGGTGAGGTTTGGGGAGGAGAGTGTATGCATACCTTTCCCCTATCTCATGGAGATACAGAGACGGTTTCTGATAGACCCTCGACTCATCCTTTGGGTGCACAAATAAAATTTAATTCTTTGGAATGTGAAGAAGCCATAATCAAGTCACCAAAAGCATAATTAAGCTAAAAACAAAAACCCCAGATGAAAATTTGTTAAATGGTACCATGAAAATCAAGCTACATTCCCTATTAAACAGATAAAGCTCAAATCTTTGGACTATTAAGAAGCACTAATCAAGTACACACAGGCATAATCAAACAGGGAAAGTTCAAAGCCAAAAACAAAAACAAAAAAAGACTAATAAAATAACACTTGATCAAGAATACCAATCAACATAAAAAAAAAAAACTTATTCTGAAACTTGAAAAAGACTAGTGAAAAAACAATAAATACGGGCTCATGAAAATCAAGCTACATTTCCAATATAACAACTAAAGTTTCAATCTTTGGAATATCAAGAAGGGATAATCAAGTAAACCAGAAGCATAATTAAGCTTAAAACAAAAACTCCATAAGAAAATTTGCTTAACAGAACCATGAAACTCAACCTACATTCCCAATTAAGCAGATAAAGTTCAATTCTTTGAACTATTAGGTAGTAGTAATCAAGTAACCACAGGTATAAAACAAAACCAAAAAACAAACTTAATCAAGAATACCAATCAACATAAAAACAACTTTTCTGTAACATAAAAAAGACTAGTGAAAAACCAACAAATATGGGCTCATGACAATCAAACTACATTTCCAATTTAACAACTAAAAATTCAGTCTTTGGAATATCAAGAAGGGATAATCAAGCAAACCAAAAGCACAATTAAGCTCAAAACAAAAATCCCATAAGAAAACTTGCTTAACAGAACCATGAAAATCAACCTACATTCCCAATTAAACAGATAAAGTTCAATTCTTTAGACTATTAAGAAGCACAAATCAACTAACTACAGGCATAAAACCAAAAAAAACAATAAGAAAATCAAATAACACTTAATCAAGATTAAAAAAAATAAAATTCATCACCTAGTACTTGGTCAACGTTAATTCAAGAAAATTCATGAGACAATGTGAAATTTTTTTAACAAGAATTGATAAATACTCAAATGGGATTTTAGTATTCTTTTTGTTTTACCTCTTAACAAGAGAGAGAGATTTGCATGAAAATAGAGAGAGAGATTTCCATTAAACTCTTTGGAGATGTGAATGGCGTCTACTTTGGCACTTGAGGTTGAGAGAGATGAACGTAATTAACCCTAAAAACATTTTTATTGACCACTTTAGCCCTCAATCTTGGAAGAAAATGTCAAACTTCCCCCTTTTCTTATTGGTTAACTTATTTGTCTCAATAAAATATGGAGAAATACTGTTTTTTTTCCTTTTTCGTCTCTATGTTATTGGTAATTCTTTTGGTTATTATTGTGATATATGATTTTGTATATTTAATCTTAACAAATCAAAATGATTTTTTGTTAAAAATTTGGATTATCGTATTATTTGTCGTTTTTATCATTTATTTGAACCGAGGATCTTTTGGAAACAGTCTCTCTACTTCTACGAGGTAGTGGTAAGGTCTGTGTAACACTCTATCCTCTCTAGACACCAATTTGTGATATTTCACTAGATATGTTGTTGTCGTCGTTTTTATTATTTTCTTCATTATTGTATGTCATTTTTCGTACTTGATTTGATATGTTTTATTTAAGTCGTATGATTATCTAAAGTAGACTATCTGCCTTCACAAGTTAGGAATAAGACTGGAAACATATCACCCTCTTTAAATTAATTTATTAAATTACACTGATTTAATTACTTTGTTGTTAATCGAAAATGTGACACTCATATAGAAAATGTGTCTTTATTTAACATATTGTAAATATATATTATCATCAAATATGGAGTAAAGATTCAAATTTAATAAGAAGCATGAATAGTTAGGTCATAGAATAATTACTAATTTTGATAAATTTGTAATACGTACGAACAAGGAATAAAAGTGCACACAATTCAATTGATTGAAAGTTCAATCAGTGACATAGGAATTAATATCATAATTTAAAAATAATTAAGGGACCAAAAAAAATATTAACTTCTGATTGTCATTGTCAAATTATCAATATCTTATTAAAATATTATTTGAACATAACACCAAATAATATAGTGATTATAAGAGAAAAAATCTAAAATAATTGTTTATCTTTGGAAGAATTAAAGTCATCCTCACTCTTTTACATAATACATTAATAATCTTTTATGTTTATAACATTATAATACTTTTGGTCCTTTCACGAGCTTTATTTTTCTCTTTTAACATTGGAGTTGGGGCAATTATACAAAATTTTCTTTCTCATACAATCAATTGATATAGAATTTAAAAATAGAAAAGATATCATAAATTTCTTTTTCCCAGGTGAAAAATAAAGGAAAAACGTCTAATATATATTTATTATATATTACTGAAATTTTTTATTGTAACTATAGTTAGAATTTTAACGCACTTTCCTCTCTCGTCTCTTCTTTTCCCCCCCGCATCTCTCCTCCTCCTGCTCCCCCTCTCTCTCTTTCCTTGTCCCTTCTATCTTAGTACATATACAAATAGTAACCATCAACAATAGAAATACAAATGTTGATAGTCAATATACAAATACAAACGTAACAACTTTCTTAAGGCAACAAATGATATAAATACAAATATACAAATCGAAGTGGTATTCATTGATATAATGTTAACATTCAATATAAAAATACAAATAGTAACTCTCGATCTCTTCTCTCTCGCCTCTATTTGCCCCCTTCATTCTCGCCTCCTCCTTTCTTTCTCAATACAAATATAAATAGTAACATCCAAAAATACAAATACAAATGTTAACAGTCAATATACATATACAAATGATAACTTTCTCAAAGCAACAAATGGTAACAAATAAAAATGTACAACCAAAGTGATATTCACTAATACAATTTTATTCATTATATTGATTGATACATATCGTATTCTCATATAAATTGTATTCATTGTACTACTTGATACAAATTGTATTCAATGATACAAAATACAAATACACAAGGCAACAAATATAAATATAAATACAAATACACATGGCAATAGATACATTGCATCAAAATAGAGTAAAGAAAATTATTTTTAAATTACTTGAGTATTTTAGAAAAAATCAAATTTATACCACTAGACAGGGTGTCTAGCGGCCTTTTATTAATAATAAAATAAAATCCTCAAAGTGAATAAGTACAAGCAAGGGGGCTAGGTCTTACCTTACCAATCCTAATGAGTTGAGAGTTATCAGAAACATTTGTTTTTGTTAATCTATCTCTGCAACGTATAAGTGAAACATTTTTTATCAATTCATGGTGCATGTCACGAATGACATAGTATTGATTGACGAGACACACAATGGAGTTGAAGTGTAACACCTCGGAAATTGGAAGTTGAGTTTGGAAGGAAAAGTTGTAGAAATTGTATTGATTCCTGGTTCTACGATTAGAGACCTATGCAACGTAGGAAGTCCTACGGGCCATAGGAAGGGTGTCGTAGAAACTGGGTGAGTTTTTTATTTTGATTTTCCCATTATTGACTCGTGAGTAATTTTTGAACAAAAAGCATTAATGATACCAATAATATATATATATATATATATATATATATATATATATATATATAT